CCCAGGATGGAGTGCAGTAGCTCGATCTCGGCTCACTGCAACTTCCTCCTCCCGGGCTCAAGCGATTCTCCTGCCTCAGCCTCAGGAGTAGCTGGGACTACAGGCGTGCGCCACCATGCCTTGCTAAGTTTTGTATTTTTAGTAAAGACGGGATATCTCTGCCTTAGTCAGGCTGGTCTCAAAGTCCCAACCTCAGGTGATCCGCCCGCCTCAGCCTCCCAAAGTGCTGGGATTACAGGCGTGAGCCACTGCGCCCGGCCAACTTGCTGTTTTTCTTCTGTGGGATTTTCTTCTGTGGGATTCTTCTGTTGGTTTGAAATGTATTTTTGTTACAGATTCGTCTTTTGGGATCCACGATTCCACTCTGCTCCGCTCAGTGGGAGCGAATGTTTAACACTTCCCGGATCCCAGGAGAGGAGACAGGTGAGTGAAGCTTCTTCGGGGCTCCCTGTGGAATTGGCACTTTCCATCCCTGTGCTCAGAATCAGGAAGTGTCAAAGGGGCCAAATTGATTTTTGCTGACCCTTCCTGAGACTGTAGGCTGGTGAACATTCCTTCTGCTGAATTTCCTTTGTCTTTCTTAGACCTGGACACTGTTGTTGACTTATTTCCAGATTTTAATTTCTCTCTGGTTGAAGACTGCCGACTGTCTTATAGAGTGTTTGATTGATTGATTGATTGATTTTGAGATGAGGTCTCTCTCTGCCACCCAGGCTGTAGTGCAGTGACATGATCACGGCTCACTTCAGCCTCCACGTCCTGAGCTCAAGGAATCCTTCCATCTTAGCCTCCCCAGTAGCTGGGACCACAGGCACATGCATCATGCCTGGCTAATTTTTGCATTTTTTATAGACATGAGGTTTTGCCGTGTTGCCCAGGCTGGTCTCAAACTCCTGGACTCATGCCCAGCTGAGTGTTTTTTCCTGAGTCTGAGTTTCTCAGGGGCATTTTGCTCCGGCTCACAGGCAGGGTTTGTGGTGGAACGCACACTGGGTCGTGCTCGAGAAGGTCGATTTGTGTTCCAGACACTCCCGTATCAGCTGCCTGACCTGGGCAGGGTGGCCACATAAGCTACCGTCCAAATGGGGACATCCTTGAGAATGACAGGGAAGGGAGAACGGGCACCATGGGGACCATCCAGGCCAGGCACGGGCCCAGGCTATGCCGTCCATGGCCTCCATTTCCCCCATTTCCCCAGGTGCCTGTGAATGGGGAACTACCCAGAGACACTTGATGAGCTAGAGCCCAAGACCACCATGGCAGGCCTGTATGATGGGCAGGCCTCAGGGCTGCTTGGGAAGCTGGCTGGAAAGCGCCAGAGCTGACCCGGAGCTTTGAGTGTCTTGTTGCAGCCCAGTCCTTCTAGACCAAGCCCTAGTTAGTACTGTGCACTGTGGTGGTCGTTGGGGAGCCTTTGCTGTAGCCTTGCACAAAAGCTGGTCTCTGGGCTTTCCTAAGCAGATTCTCCCCTTTCCTCTGATCCTGCCTTCAGAGGATCTCTAAAAACCCATCCTGGCCAGGCGCAGTGGCTCACACCTGTAATCCCAGCACTTTGGGAGGCGGAGGTAGGTGGATCACCTGAGGTCAGGAGTTCAAGACCAGCCTGACCCACTAGACGATCTGCCTTGATCAGCTGTCACTGTGCGTCCCCACTGAGCAGTGCTTAAGAGGACTTGATACATATTCGTGGAGTGAATGTACTTCATCACATTTCTGTGACGTTGAAGCTTACTGAGGATCTTAAATTACTCTGTTTCAGTAGTTTTTGCGGAATGGCTTGGTTTCATAATTTTCCACTTCCTTTCTCAGAACATTTCTCGGATTCTCAGAAACAATTCTCAGAATGTTTCTCAGAGTAGTTTCTAAGTTGCCCTATTGTCATTAATTAATAAAAAGTTACTACACTGATCCAGTGCCTACTCTATATGAGCTTTATGGATATCATCTCTTAATTCTTGCACAGCGCACATGGGGAACATATGATCTCCATTTTACAGAGAGGCTTAGGGAGGACTGGGCAATTTCTTTTTTTTAAATGATAATATTCCATTTTGCTAAGCATGCTTTTTTTTTTTTTTTTTTTTTCTCACTCTGTTACCCAGGCTGGAGTGCAGTGGCGTGATCTCAGCTCACTGCAACCTCCACCTCCTGGGTTCAAGCGATTCTCCTGCCTCAGCCTCCCAAGTAGCTGGGAATACAGGCGCGTGCCACCACACCTGGCTAATTTTTGTATTTTTAGTAGAGGCGAGGTTTCACCATGTTGACCAGGCTGATCTCGAACTCCTGACCTCATATGATCCTCTCACCTCACCCAAAGTGCTGGGATTACAGGCGTGAGCCACCGCTCCCAGCCTCCCACTGCGCCTGGCCTCAGGTAATTTGTTTGAGGTCATAATCTAACGAGTGACCAAGCTGAGCTCAGAAGTCAGGCCTATCCGATCCAGAGCTTTAACTCCATGCTGTCCTTAATCATTTAAAACATCTTGAGGAATAGGCTCCTGAGGCTGCCTGGAGGGACGCAGAGCAGGGACTCCCATGGCCTTTAAAGAGTCAGGGTACAGTCGTCTCAGCACGCGGTGAACTTGGGACTCTTGGTTTTGTGTCTCCAACCCGCGGCCGGCTCAGACACCATCCAGCACATGAGAGACAGCAAGCACATCGTCGTGTACCATCGAGGGCGCTACTTCAAGGTCTGGCTCTACCACGACGGGCGGCTGCTGAAGCCCCGGGAGATGGAGCAGCAGATGCAGAGGATCCTGGACAATACCTCGGAGCCTCAGCCTGGGGAGGCCAGGCTGGCAGCCCTCACCGCAGGAGACAGGTGCGCGGCCCAGGTCCCTTGTCCTGTTTTGAGAGGTGGTGGAGGCACTCCTCCTCACTGGGGCCCATCCCCGTCGGGGCCTGTGGGAACACTGGTATGGGACTCCCCACCTCAGCTCTGTTTTGCTCTGGGGTCTCCCGGCTCAGTGGGTCTCAAGAGCAGTGGGGACATGGGGGGGAGTCCCTGGCCACTCCTATGTGTGTGTCAGGCAAACGTGTGTGGAAACACTCCAGAGTCCAGGACGGGGAGAAGTGAGGACTAGAATTAGGCTTGCTTTCTTCTTTTTTTTTTTTTTTTTTTGAGAGGGAGTCTCACTCTGTTGCCTAGGCTGGAGTGCAGCAGCGCTATCTCAGCTCACAGCAACCTCCGCCTCCCGAGTTCAAGCAATTCTCCTGCCTCAGCCCCTCCCCGAGTTTCTGGGAGCGCACCACCACGCCCAGCTAATTTTTGTATTTTTAGTAGAGACAGGGTTTCACCATGTTGGCCAGGCTGGTCTCAAACTCTTGACCTCAAGTGATCCACCCACCTTGGCCTCCCAAAGTGCTGGGATTACAGGCGTGAGCCACACGCCTGGCCAGGATTAGCCTTTCTTATGGGGCTGTGGGCATATTTATTAATCTAGGAAACAGAACAAATTGAAACCAACGCCCCTGTGTTAGTTACATTTCCTTGCCTCAGTGAAAAAGAATCAGGCTGGGCGCAGTGGCTCATGCCTATAATTCCAGTGCTTTAGGATACCAAGGCAGGAGAGTCACTTGAGTGTAGGGGTTTGAGACCAGCCTGGGCAACAGAGGGAGACCCCATCTCACAAAAAATTAGCCAGGCTTGGTGGTGCGTGCCTGTAGTCCCAGCTACTCAGGAGGCTAAGGCAGGAGGATTGCTTAAGCCCAGGAAGTCGAGGCTGCAGTAAGCCATGATCGAGGCACTGCACTCCAGCCTGGGTGACAGAGTGAGACCTTGTCTCAAAAAATAAAACAGAAAGAGAATCAGCCAAGCTTGGTTTTCTCGAGGGTGTGGTGTGTGAGGTATAGTAGGGTTTCTCACCTCAGCGCTGCGCACACTCAGGGCCGGGTACCTCTTTGTAGGGGGCACTGCCCTGTGCAGCGTCAGATGCTGAGCAGCAGCCCCGGCCTCTGCCCACCGGCTGCCAGTAGCAACCTGTGTGACAACCAGAAGTGTCGCAGACATTGCCCAGCATCTGGGGGACACTGTTGTCCCCGGCTGAGAGCTGCGGCATTCCAGCAGTGTGACAACTGCTCTGGGAGTAAGGCGGGAGGGGCAGGTGTCGCGGCCCCTTCTGCAAAGATCAGGAGAGGCTCTGTGCTGCGTGCAGGGGCCGCAGGTGGGCTATGTCTCGCAGAGGGTGGGAGCAGACCAGGATGGTGGGTGTCCAGGGGGTGGAGCGGCATGCCCTGGGGCAGCAGAGCAAGCAGGAGCTGTGGAGTAGGCTGGATGGCTGGGCCACGGTGCCAGGCTGGGGAGGGTCCCAGGCACCCAACCATATTGGAGCTTGATTCTGCGACTAGGAGCCACTTCAGGTGGTGTAGGGTGGGGTGGGCCGGGGGGCATACGTAGGTTAATGCAGGAGATTCTTCTGGTTGGGCAGGGAGGAGGGGCCTTGGACACAGGGATACTTTTCGGTGGCCCAAGTAGTGAGGTCCTGAAAGAGGGCCAAGCCCGAGTGCAGGAGAGGGATGGGGGAGGATGTGTGCAGGGAAGCTGGCGTTGTTCGTTGTCCACTGTGGTGCTGACAGGCTGGAAAGAGCGGCAGCAGGAGATGCGTCTCAGGTGAAGATGCGCTCGCCCGGTGGGCTCCTCCGAGAGCCTGGAATCCCCAGCGGAGGAGACGTGGGGAGCCTGAGCAGGCGCTGTGGGGCCTGGGCTCCCTGTGGGTCTGTAGGTGCCTCAATCCTGATGCCCCCTCTGGATAGGACCAGACCAGCATCTTACCCACGGGAGTCCTTCACAAGAAGGGCTCCATACATGCCGGCCACCATCACTGTCACCTTTGTCCCCCTGGTAGGGTGTGCACTGGGGCCTGACGTGTTTCTAGGCTTATTGGCCCTGTGGGCCGCCGTATCCAAGCACTCATAGAGAGAAGACGGTGGGGAGAGCGCCAGATGGCCCTGATCTGGAAGGGTGGGCAGTGGCAGAGGGCCCTGGAGGAGCTGGAGTGAGGGGGACCCAGGAGCATTCAAGGAAGCCCAGCTGGTGGGGTCTTCCAAGAAGGAAGTGGGCATCACATCAGTTCTGTGTATTCCAAATAAGACGGGCACGGAGACCTTGTGGAGGGATCACATGGGCATCTGTGGCATGCACTTGGGGGCTGATGACCTGGGTTCCAACTCTGCCTCAAAATAGCTGTGACCTAATCTTTCCATGCTTCAGTTTTCTCATCTGATAAATGGGTACAGTAGCATTGAGAAGATCAGTGAGTTGGTACACAGAAAAGGTTTGGAGCAGAGCCTGGCATGAGGGACACACTCTTATGCATTTACCGTAACCTGGGCTGCCGGAACTTACCTAGGGTGGTTCCTGTGGAGGGGAGGGAGGGCGTGTCGGGGAGCATGGGCGTGTCAGGGAGCATGGGGCATGGTGATCTGGGTCTGCTGCTTCCTGGCGGCTTTGCCCATAGGGCCAGCCTGCAATCTGGCCGTTCATTTAGCCAGCATTTATTGAACAAAAATTACCCACTGCTCCCTGTGCTGTGGTCTGGAGACCGGGAGAAGGTGAGAATCTTTCCAACAAACAGTCTCAGATGGGGAACATCGTCAAAATGGAGTTTTCCTTCGAGAAATTCTGAAACACTGCAAAGGTTTGATTGTGTCATTTCAAACATCACGTGCCAGTAGACATCGCTCCATGGCTGCAGGTCCGGCTGCCTTTAATCATATTTCATCTTCACTGCAGAGTTCCCTGGGCCAGGTGTCGCCAGGCCTATTTTGGACGGGGGAAAAATAAACAGTCTCTTGATGCCGTGGAGAAGGCAGCGTTCTTCGTGACGTTAGATGAAACTGAACAAGGATACAGAACGGAAGACCCAGATACATCGATGGACAGCTACGCCAAGTCTCTACTACATGGCCAATGTTATGACAGGTACCGTCCTTACTTTCTGAGAGAAGGGAGTTTGCCCATGAGCTTGGAAGAAATACCCTATGTGCCTGACACTCACCCCTAAGTATCTATAATGCTAAGGAAGAAGATGGCATAAAAATATAACCTTCAGTTTTATTTTATTTATTTATTTTTGAAGTGGAGTCTTGCTCTGTCACCCAGGCTGGAGTGCAGTGGCTTGATCTCAGCTCACTGCAACCTCCACCTCCCGGGTTCAAGCGATTCTCCTCCTTCAGCCTCCCAAGTAGCTGGGATTACAGGCGTGTGCTGCCACACCCAGCTAATTTTTGTATTTTTAGTAGAGACAGGATTTCACCATGTTGGCCAGGCTGGTTATGAACTCCTGATCTCAAGTGATCCACCCACCTCAGCCTCTCTAAAGTGCTGGGATTACAGACATGAGCCACTGCGCCTGGCCAACCTTCGGTTTTCTTCCCTCCGCCAAAACTGTCACACACACACAGCTTAAGCTGCAAATCTGAGATTCCCTCCTCTGTGCATGACTACCTTTGTTTGGAGATGCTCATGAGATGCAGGGCTGCCAGGTCCCTGGACTCAGGCAGGGGATAGTGGTGAACAGGGCTGGGCACAGGGTTAGGCCAGGGTGTTGGCACGTGGCTATCTCAAGTCCTCTTTTCCTTATCTGTAAAGTGTTGACCAGCCCCCTGCAGGGTGGGGCCAAGGATTGGCTAATGAAGGGGTCTCGTGCCCACGGGAAGAGCCTCCCACCTCTCCCAGTTGCCTTGTGATAATAACAGGTCCTGACTTCAGGCTCCCAGGATATAAGCGCTCATCTTTGTGTCTGGGACAGGGAAGAAATGAGGGATTCAGTGTCCCATCTGTACTTTCATCCTCACTCCAGAGACCGAGCAGCCGCTCCCTGTTAGAGGGGCAAATGCAAAGTAAATTAGTCCATCCAGGATGAAGCAGAGAGGTGCAGTGTCTCCTCATTTTTGCCTCGTTGAACACTTAAGTTCCACATACGTGTGTTTCACATAGGTGGTTTGACAAGTCGTTCACGTTTGTTGTCTTCAAAAACGGGAAGATAGGCATCAACGCGGAGCACTCCTGGGCAGACGCGCCGATCATGGCCCACCTTTGGGAGGTGAGTTTTCGCACTTTTCACTTGAATGTAGAAGTTGCTTTTGAAAATCCAAACCTGGCCAGGCGCGGTGGCTCACACCTGTAATCCCAGCACTTTGGGAGGTCGAGGCGGGTGGATCACGAGGTCAGGAGAATGAGACCATCCTGGCTAACACGGTGAAACCCCGTCTCTACTAAAAATACAAAAATTACTGGGCGTGGTGGCGGG